GAACGGCAACAAAGTCCCGACACACAGGTTCAGGTAGAGTGAGTAACACAGCTTTATTTGGGAACCATGTCCCTCCAGAGGCCAATGCTCTGGTCAGCACAGAGGGTTATACAGAATGGAATAGAATTTAATAGCGAACCAAGCCCCAGAGTGAATCGAAATGGAGAAGGTCCCTGGTCTGGGAGAGACGACGGGGCCCATAACAGGTCTGAGGCAAGCTGGTCTTGCAAGGAAGACCTTCAGAGAGCCCCGGAGTATCGCTGCCTGCACCTCGCAGAGGGTCTTAGCCAGAGCGCCCAGTCAGACTGCTCACGGCATTGCTCTTGAGCTCTGCTTTTATCCTGTTTTCCTTGGACTTGTTCATTTTTTAGGTGATAACCAGAGTTGTTTGGGTGAACGTGTTTACTACTCGATTTTGTTATGCTCAGTTTATGCACATAAACATGTTTACTTTTATGTATATGCTCTACACATAAACATGTTTACTTTCAATTCACTCTTATCAGTCTCACACCTACTAGTAAACAACTTGTTTTACAAGCCTCAATCCTATAACATCCTTGTTTATCATATATTCTATATATTCTATACACATGTTTTGCATGAAATTCAAAGTAACATTGACACTTCTACCACGTTTCCCATCTCTCCCTAGTTCCAATGGTGGCTCCTGGGAACGTGCATGTGAACGTGCTGAACGGCACCTTAGCAGAGGTGCACTGGGACCCGGTACCTCTGAAAAGTATCCGAGGACATCTACAAGGCTATCGGGCAAGTGAAGGGAGACCTTTCCTGTTCTTTCCTTAGAGACAGGCTGCCAGTGAAGGCCAGATGCACTTCTCTTGGTTGGAGGAGACCTTGGGAGTTCCTCTGGTTCACTGCCTCATGCAGGCCACACCTAAGCAACCCCAGCTAGAGCTGAATCAAAATCTCACTGCATCCAAAGTGAGAAAAAAAATATTTTATCTCCATTTTCCCACACATAATCTACCATTTTGCCAAATAAACAATTAACAAAATGGGGAAAACTAATGTTTAAAAAGGAAAATTCACCTTTAAAGCCACATGTGTTGAATACACAAATTATCCTGAAAAAAAAAATGCATACTTTTTAATAATTCAGATTATACTTTAAGATCATACAGTCCCAACTGGGTCATTCTTCTGAACATTAATCATCTTTGTTCTTGGCNTAGAGTTGTGGAGTAGGCAATTCACTACGCAAGTCTGCGGTCAGGGGAGAGGGAGCGGCCGCAGATACAAATGTGAACATCATCAGTTTATGAGTCTGGAGATTATACCTGCAAATTAAGGTAAATGGAAAGGACAACACTAAGTACTTAGCTTCGGAGCACTGCAACACAATGTTTCTAGTTTATCTTTGTATCTACAATTCATAATATGGTACATGGCACATAATAGGCAATTAGTGAATATCTAAATACCTATTTTTTACAAGGGTAAAACATGTACATATCACAAAATTTTAGTAGATGCAAGAGGCTATGCACTGAAAGGTGAGTCTTCGTCCCACCCGATTCCCAGTCCCTCCAGTGATACCAGTGGTATCAGTGTGTATCCTCTGAGAGATGATACATGTACATTCAAGCATATGTGTATGTATTTATGTTATAATAAATCTTTTTACTTTTGTACAAGCGTACTATCCAGCACACGCTCTTCTATACCCTACTTGGTTTGACTTCATGATATATTTTAGAAATCATTCCATTTCAGTGCATATGAAGTAGCTCCATTTATTTTTACAGCAGCAGAGTATTCCATTGTGTGGGTATACCATAATTTTTTAATCAGTGTCCTTCCGAGTGATGAAAATTTAGGTTTGCAATTAGGTTGTTTCAACCGCCAACAATGCTACAATGTAGATTCTTTTTCATGTGTTTTTGAGCATATGTGGGAGCACATTTATTCAACATAAATTGCTAGAAGTACAATTTCTCAGTCAAAGGGTATCTGAGTGAAATACTGTTAGGTGTTCTAAATTGTCCTCTATAGAAGTTGTGTCAATGTACGCTTCCTACAAACCAAGTGTGAGAATGCTTGTTTCCTACAAAATGGGATCTCACTGAATTTAATTTAACTTCTATTGTGAACCAAAAAGAATGACCGTCTTTTCATATATTTAAACTTTCCTTAGGGATACGTGGACCCCTTCTAAACAGTTTTAAGTAGTTAAATTTAAACTCAGCATGCTAGAGAAATATTATTGGTATGCTTAAGTATCGAGAATGATGGTAGAACTCTGAATCAAAAGATTCTAATGAAATATTTTTTGAAAGTGAAATAATTCATGTTTGGCTACTCTTGTTAGATTGTCTTATTAGTACCTATCCTTGGGTGACTGAATTCACTGTCTTGCATTTGGTGTGTGTGTGTGTGTGTTGCCAGAATTCATCATTGAGTATGAAGATGCAATGCATGAGGCAGGGCTGTGGCACCACCAAACTGAGGTTCCTGGGACCCAGACCACAGCCCAGCTGCAGCTGTCGCCTTATGTGAGCTACTCCTTCCGAGTGAGGGCAGAGAACAAGGTCGGGAAGAGCTTGCCCAGCCAGCCATCTGAACAGTATTTGACTAAAGCTGCAGGTAAAGCGGGACTTTGGTGATATGAAAGAAAATAGAAAAGTTTTCCACTGTTTGAGGAAAGCCAAAGCTTACACATGTGACTGCTTAACTTTTAGAACCGGATAAAAACCCCACGACTGTGGAAGGACTGGGATCGGAGCCGGATAATTTGGTGATTACGTGGAAGGTGAGCTATGGATGAAGCCTTCAACTTTCCTCAGGACATTTTAGAGTAAAAAACTGTTTTAAAAT